TTCTAGCCACTTTCTCTATATGGAGAGGAGATAGGCCAAGCAGAACCTCCATTGCTAGAGTTGGCGTTCTGCCTATCGCACCAGAGATTGCCAATCCAGCTACTCGTTGAATTCGTGAAAGTTTACTGATAACTGAAGTCTGTCGGACTTTCCTATACCAGGCTGCTGCTCCGTATGTGATCATAGGTCTAACCACAGTCACATAGACCCAGTACAGTCTTTCAGGGGTAAGACCCCATTTTTTTCCACACAGACTGCGACAAGTCCACAATGATAGTCTAGCTTAGTGCAAAACTCCCTGCAAATGTCCATTCCATGACAGGGTTTTGTCCAGGATTACTCCTAGATATTTGACTCTTCACCTTGGATAGTTGGGCGGATTAGTCCATCCAACTTTCGCTTCCTGGTGAAGGGCACAATAATTGTCTTTTGCGGGCTTACTGAGAGGTTCTCTCCCTTACACCAAGCGCAAATGGTATCTAAGGTCACCTGGAGGATTTTAGATATCCTCGGCAAACAGGTTCCTTTGACCATAACGACAATGTCATCAGCATAAGCTTGTATTTCCACACCAACGGCTTCGACTATCGTAATCAGATCGTCATCTAGGAGGGACCAAAGCAGGGGAGATAACACCCCTCCTTGCGGGCAGCCACCTCAAGGCCTATAGCGTATCGTATCACCGTGGAGTGAAGTAGAAACTATTCTACTATCTAGCATATTGCGGACCCAACCCGCTATAGTTGCTTCCACTCCCCTGTCAAGAGCAGCTCTTTCAAGATATTGTGGTATTGCGTTGTTGAACGCTCCCTCTATATCCAGAAACGCACAAACCAAGATTTCTTTATCCTGCAGCGTCCTGGAATAATCCTTTTAATACTAATTAACAACGACTTTTTTTAAGAAATCTAATTAGAGTTCTTGCAATGAAGTTTCTTTTAGTAAATCTTTATTTTCTTAGCTCTTCAGGGTGACACAACTTCAATCTCAATGCATGATATTAACTTTGTTGTATTCAAATTAGTTGATAGATTAATATCACCCTGTAAATTAAAAAAAAAAGATAACTTAATATGTGTTAGAAATGGTATTTTTATACAGAGTGTTGATGCAAAAACGGATTTAAAACCGTTGTTACATCCTTTGTTGATTAAAGTTGTATTACTTGCAACGAAAGCATGGGTATTCGAAATATGTGGAACCAAACCAATTAACAACAACAAACATCGACGCTAACTACCGACACCAATTGCGGCGTACGACTGTTATCATTCGCTCAACCCTTTGTATGAAGTGTGTACGCGACCTAGTTATCGCTATGTGCAAGTGGACAATTCATTTTTGTTTGAGGCACCCCACAAATTATCAGTCGTCAATAAATACTAACGCTCGGGTGTTGTATGTTACACAGACCGTTACAGAGACCACACTCTTGTTTTGGTGTTCTACAAACAACGCTTTGAACTTTGATATAAATTAGGAGTGAATGGACACGCTTCAATGTACACCTACCTAAATTGTGTTACACGTAAATCAGCCGTTGTTTGTAGTTGCTCACGATATGTGTAGCTGTGTTCGGGTGTTAGAAATATCACAATGGAAAATATTTAAATTTTAGATTTGCGCTTGTACATGTAAATAAAAAAATATTGATGTCAATGTATAATCCTGTTACCACGTTTCAAATTTATCCCGAGTATATATGCAAACTTCCTCTTGTATCCTCTAGCTGGTTTGATACATGGAGGAAAGTGGGTTAAAACCGGGTTTTGTGTGGAACAAGCCTCACACAATACAATTACGAGACTACTTCGTTGTCTATGAGGTCAGGGGGAGATCTTGAACGTGGGCGAATCTATTCGCGATCTGGGAGCAACCGAATCGATCTGGTTTGATGTAATTCGCGATTTATGCGCAGCAAACGCCTGCGACAACTCTGCGAGTGGAATAATCTGGAACGAGGACTGATTTATTATTATATCGACCGGGACGACGTACGATACTGGTGGAAGAATGCATCACGTTCAATGCCAGTACTATATTTTTGCACTGCCGATGCCGGTACTAAACACGAAAAATTCAACCTCGCTCCTTTACGAACGCGGCATCGATCAAATCGGTATTACAGGCTTTCAACTAGACGATAAAAAGAATTTGAAGTATAGGCTTTCAGCTAATCGAGGATACCACGTGAACTGAAATCAGTATCGAGATGGTAAAAGTTGCCAAAAAATAGGTATAGATCAAAGACGGTAGAATTTAAAAGGACTTTTTCTTCTGTTATCTAAAAAAATGATCCAGAACACTATGTTATACCACGTGCAGTATTTTGGTAATTTAAAATCTTCTTTAAGTTTTTTTAGATTCTACTATTCTTGGGTACAGATATAGATATATGTAGAAAGAAATTTTTGATATGAAATATCTTGAGTAATATCAATCTTGGAAACAACACAAGACGAAGAGTTCAATTTAAAATTCTTTTAGGATTTTCTATCGGGATCGACTTCATTTCCCCGAATAACGTAGAGTTGTTTCGTAAAAAATGGCACGCCCCACTGACGTTTCACCTTTTCCACATCCCTTTCGTTGAAAATTCGGCGCCTCTCGCATACCCATTATTTCCTGTTCTTTTCAAGCCGTGACAAAACACGTTTCAAAGAGTCTCCCCCCTCGAAATGCACGGTACGAAGGCCTATTTTTGTAGATATAAAATTGAAAGGGGACCATTTTGGTGATGAATAATTTATTGTCTGTTTTTGGGCTCCGACAAGTATCAACGTAAAAGGGTTATTCAGTAATAATTCTTAGCGTGTAAATATATCTTGGCGAATCTTTCAAAATAAAAGATACTTTAGATTAGATTAGATTTGCAAAGGAAAAGGAAAAGAACCCCTTTACGGTAAAATTCCAACTGCTAAAATTAAATTTTTACCCACAGAGGTCCTTTATTGGTTAGGGTTTTGGCTATAGAATTTAATTTGCTCAAATTGATTCACGAAGAAAGGTAAAAAAAGGAGGTTTACAAAAAAGTATAAAGGGCCTTCCGAAGTTATTTATGTAGTTAGGAGATATAGATAGAGACAACTAGGTTGGGCAAAATACAAGAAACACGATGTTTTGGTCGCTGTGTTGTAATATCGTTAGTGGCTGGAAATGACGGAGCTCTAATTAAATTGCCGTAAATCAAATTATGTAATTTGCGGTGCCTCTACTAATAAAATTGCAACGTTACTTAGGAAACCCTATTTCAGTCCTACATTTATCAGAGTATTTTCAGATCCCAACAAAAAAATGTGCACTAAAATTTCATATTTCTTAGAAAATTCTTCTACTTTACGCTTTACGACTGAAAATTCAGTATAAATTTGTCCTTAAATCTGTTAGGAATGTAACGGACCGCGTTGGACGTTGTCCAAATCGTTTTCGCACACATATTAAAAAACCTGGTAAATTCAAAGTTCTTGATGCCACCACCAAGAGCGATGATCCCAATACATTTCGTTTTATTACCGAAATGTGCAGAAACTTTATTTCATCTCAAATCCCCGTTATCTATTGCTATACAAATTACGCGGTCGCCATAAAATAAACTCCAAAACATCATAAATATCAATTATATTACACACACATTACACACGAAATGCCTTAATTTTCAACTGAACCGTTAATCTAGGATACTTAACTGCAACTGTTGTTGAGTAATAATATTCGCGTGTAATTTGGAAGGCAAATTTAATCTCGACGAACACAATATTTTACTCTATTAATACATTTTCATGTTTGTGATTAGTGGTTTATTATAAATTCATAGATAATTGAAATTGATATTGGCGACTATCAAACTCAGCTTAATATTTGATTATTACATTATATTGTGAGTTAATTTAATATATTCTCTATATATACATATACAGTGTGTTAATTAATTATCGTAGCCGACGTCATCATTGCAAGTATGTATTGGTATTCCAATATACGATTTGCGTATTGTAATGAATTTGTTACGATGAAGTATGCAACCAATATTACAGTATATACGATTTGCGTATTATCACAATACTGTGATATTGGTTGCATACTTGCAATGATGACGTCGGGTACGATAATTAATTAACACACTGTATGTTGTACTTTATGTATTGTATTTTACGCTTCTCAACTTTGTATCTTTAGATATATCATGATAAATGGATATATGTATGTCGTCAAATCCAGAATTAAATTCTCATTTGTCATCACATAGTTGTTAAGTTCAAAGGTCAGTATAATACAAAACGTGAATGTAAACCGGGGCGGAGTTGTTGCAAATAAATCGAAATTTAAGAGAGAGACCGTGACAGATAATAAGTCACCGACGCGCCCAACCGTATATCATCGGGAAGCAGATGCCGTCGCGACGCCACCGTCAACAAAAACCGCACTTGGGCCGTTTTCGGAATTTGCATCCGCGATCCCCGAAAATAATCCGTCCCCGGTCGTAAATCAGCGGCCCGAAATTAATTAAAACTATAATTGGCGCCGTTTCGCGTTGCTCCGCGGCGCGGTCTTCCATGACCGACGCCGGTCCTAAATAAACGCGCCGTACCTTCACTCTGTTTACGAACCATAATTGAACGCGAAACAACCCCCCGGGATAGTTCCGTGTTTTTGTATCGAACCGTTGCCGACGTTGGAAAAAAATTTACCCTTTAAACCGCCGCGGCTATACAATGCGGTACGCCACTGAGTTGATTAACACGTAAGGAAAGTGAGAAACAGAATCGCAGACAGAGATGGATACATGTAAATAATGCATCACCATCTCACATCGTGCCCTTATTTACTACCCTGCGTCCTTTGCCTTTGATAGAAACGGTATGTCTCATTACTGTAATGAGCTCGCTATGACTTATGAATAAATCATTTAAATCTTTTCGCCCCTCTTGCATTAAACAATTCTTATATAAATACTATATTCATGTAATGATAAAGTATTAATGAGATTTTCCTACTTTGCAGGTATCCAAGTTTCAAATGAACTACAACATAATGGAGGAAATCCTCTAATCCACAATGCACCGCTACCTACTACTTTTGGTCGTGTTACTTCCAATCCAATGGACTTTGGGTAGACCTCGATGTGGGGGAACGTTCACAGCAAACAGGGGAATATTGCAAACCCCAAACTTTCCGAACAAGTTTCCAGTACCAATACACTGCGAATGGGTGATTGAAGCCCAACACGCATCCCCGAACTCTTCAATCGTCGTCTACCTAACGCAATTATTCGTTTTCGAGGGTGTGGTGTTTAAAGAATATCAGATCTACGATAAAACATACCAATTAAACGGCAAAAACATTTATACGGTCACGGAGAACAATGTTTCCAAAGTTAGTTATGTGCAGACGTTTCAGGACTATTTAGTTATCACTTTGAAGCTGGATATTATTGAAAGTACCCATTTAAGGGTACTCGATCATTTACTAGACGTATATGGATTTAATATAACTTACGAGGTAACCGATAAAGGCCCAAGAAAGGATTGGTGTACAATGACGATGTGTGGATTTACCGGAATTTGTTACGATCATTATACGTAAGTAATGAAACGAAAGATTTCATTTCATCAATGTGTTCATCAATATGCGGGTGTCACAAATCCAATTTGCACTGTATAATAGGATCACACGTTCGTCAGTCCGTTATTAGTCTTCATGAAATGTCATTTGAAATTTCTAACTAATCCAAAAATGTTTATTCAAAATATGTATTTTCACTGTATATGAATGTGGTGTTACATATTAATGTGGCTGCGAAATATTAATAGAATCACAGATTGTTAACCGCACTGTTGTTTACAGTTGGTAATAACTAATAACATAAAACAAAACCGCGTTGAATAAACTAATAACGTTGTCTAGAATTACAATTGAATTTAGCGATGAAAATTTTCCTTATTTAGATAGAACTGCAGGTATACTTTTTTTTTAATTCGTTTGTGCATAACGTGTAGTTTGTGCACAACAATTTATTTACGTATTAAAAATACCACCGAGCCATATCACCAAATTGATATTAATGGATGTTATTATGTATTCATTAGTTTCACTGTTGCGCATTAAATTTTGATTAAACTGGACATAATTATTAATGTAACTAAACATTACCTGTATAGTTTTAAAATTACAGTTTAAAAATTAAATTGATTGAATTGCATTTTATTTAATCGTTAGAATTATTACAACGATAAATTTTTGATTGGCGTCAAACGGTGTGTAAAATCTTTAAGTTACAATTTCATGATCATGATCTTTAAAAATACGTCGATATGATTTTTTGTATTGATTTTGATTTATAAGTTTAATAATTTCTTTTTAAGTTTATATAAAGTATTGGGTTAAAGTACTCGATACTTTCTAGTTCCAGGTCTAGTGTTAGTTATAGTTTTATACTAGCACTATCACTAGAACTAACCCAAGACCTAGAACTAGAATCATTCGGGTTTAGCCGTCTTGAGAGACGTGCGGCTAAATCCGAATGTTTCTAGTTCTAGGTCTAGTGTTAGCTCTAATTTTGCAATAGCACTATTACTGGAATTAGCCAATTAATTAAATGGTAGAAATTAATGAAATCCTACTTTACGGTGATATAAATTTATTCGCTCAACCGGTTTCGATATTTTACAATATCATCATCAGGAGTTCCAAATAAAATTACATTGACATAACCTAAAAAACTTACGTCGGGCATGGTGTTTTAAAACAGATTAAGAATGTTGGTATCATTACAACACCAGCTGTAAACGATCAATTATTCACGTATAATCACACAAGTATGTTGTTAAACCAATCAACAAACCAATGAAAAATTGAAAAATGAAAAACAACTTGTGACCGGTAAATTATAAAAGTAAGCATGTACAAGGTGAAGTGTCACATGAAGTTAGCCAATAATAAAAGGGGAGCGGCAAATTCAAAAAACTAAAACATTACTTTCTGTTATACTCCAAGAATTCTAACAAGCTAAAGAGATTATTCATTCAAAGATAGGTATATAATCAAATATCCAGCACAAAACGCCATCACATAAACCCAAAAAAGATAAGCGATGTGGGAAGATCATTTATAAATTTTCTTGGGTTCAACAACAGCCGAATATCTAAAAATTCGTCTTGTAGGTAGATGAAGGGAGACAAGGGATAACATATAATGAGTAGGAGAAAAGTAGGAAAAAAATTAATTAAATAGCTAATTATTTCATCAGTAAATTGTAGCACTTACAGAATTAACAAATTTCTCATAAATTTTTTCAGAAATGAAATACAATTTGTTCCGGAACATACCATAAAAAATAGAGACGAACTAATCCAGACATTACAAACAATTTCACTACCCGACAATTACACTCTTATATCCTTTGATATTACCAACCTTTACACCAACATTCCTATAGAAGAGACTTTATTAATAACCAAAAACCTACTTATGACGAAAATCGACCAAACTGACACAAACAATATATACCAACTATTGAAGCTGAGCACAGAAATGAATTTTTGCCAATTTAACCAAAAGTTTTACAAATACAAAGACGGGCTCCCGATGGGTTCTCCACTTAGTAGTTTACTATCTGATATCTTCCTCAATTCCCTGGAAAAGACTATTCTACATAAAAACAATAACAAAAATAAAAACATCTTATTTTGGAAAAGATACGTAGACGATATAATAGTTGTTTGGAATGGCAATGATAGACATGAAATAATGAATTTTCTCAATTACTTGAACGAACTTCATCATAACATCAAATTTACGATGGAAATGGAAAAAGACAATCAATTAAATTATCTAGATTTGACATTACACAAAACAAATAATCATATATATTCACTATCTACAGAAAACCCACACAGGCAGATGTTATCATACCATACGATTCCTTTCACCATCCTAACCATAAAGCTTCGGCGATTAGAGCATATTTACAGCGCATGAATACAACTCCAATGCAATCGTTAAATAGAACTAATGAAATTAAAAATTCCCAAACAACTTCATACACAAAATTATACACAAAATTAACAACAAGAATCAATTACAACAAACCACTACTTTACAAAATATCCATAACAGGAATGAGAAAATATGTATATAGATCTATAAAATTTTGCGGCCCTGTTTCATACAACATTAAACGAATCTTTAATAAATATAACATACAGATTTCCTTCACAAATAGCAATACCACAAAACATATGCTACTTAACGCAAAAGATAAAACAAACAAATTACAAAAAAGTGGAGTATATAAATTAAAATGTAATGACTGTAATGCTTCCTACATAGGTCAAACAGGGAGAACACTAGAACAACGCATCAAGGAGCACATAGCACAAACAGAAATAAGAGATGGCGAAAGGATACTTAAATCGAATTTTGGTAGACATTTGAAAGAAAATAGCCATGCTTTTAACCAACAAGAGGATGCAGAACTAATACTTCAATTAAACAAGGGAACAAAGTTGGAACTTCATCTTCATAATATGTTTGAATAATCAGACACAATTGAACAAGATACCACTTTACACCTTCCTCAAATACCCTTTTAAAAAACCCCCATGATGCCGGGGGTTTCTTCATCTAGTCCGTGTGGAGTCTTCGTGGTGTCCCAACGGCTACTCTCCCCCTATCCTACCTAAACCCCCCCCCCCCCCTTTCCCCTCCTCCCACCTTTATTTCTCCTTTTCCCCCATTTTTCCTATATATGTTTTAGTTCCATAAAATAGAATGTTCATTTCCTCTACTTAAGAGTTTGACCATCCTCAACACGCATGCGTACTATATAGTTAATACTGCGCAAGACCACTAACGAACACCAAGCACGCCTCTTCCCAAATTTGTTCGCTCTCGAGTAAGACTAAATAATTATTGATAAAATTATTAATCCAAACCATCATTTGTTGATATTTAAAACGATTACTACAGTAAGCCTATTGATTGTACCGCACATGGAAAGAGTGACTTATATTTTATGTTGACATAACCAAAAAGGACGAAGTAAGTTAGACACATGTTTTATAATAATATTTAAGTTTGTTACACTTTGTTTCATTTAATTTATGTTCAGTTTACTAATCTTAATGTTAATTTCAAAAATTCTACTCACATTGGTAATAAAGGGTGTCCCAAAATTAACGCAACATTTCAATTTGCCGCCATTCATGCAGTAAAGTGTTGACAACCCTAAAAAAAAAATAAATCGACAGTTGACAGTTTAGGGTTAGTAAAAATAGAGCGTTACACAATAGAACAACGTGTCTTCATTATTGAACAATATTTCAAAAATAATGACTGCTTGGCGGCCGCAGTTCGAAAATTTCGTACAAAATATGGTCGGAATACTGTTTTAACTTCGTCAACTGTGAAGAGATTAATTGAAAAATTTCGGGAGACGGGATCCGTTGGAGACACCAAACACACTGGTCGTCCAAAAACAAGCCGTTCAAATGTCAATATCGAAGCAGTGCGTGCGAGTGTCGGCGACAATCCAGGAACCTCAATTCGGCGTCGTGGACAAGAATTGCAAATTTCAAGAAGCTCTCTGCAGCGTATAGTCACTAAAGATCTGTGCCTACATGCTTACAAAATTCAATTAACACAACAACTGAAGCCCAATGACCATGCACAGCGTAGAGAGTTTGTTGAATGGATTATTGAGCATCAACAAATGAATGCAGATTTTTCGAGCAAAATCATCCTAAGCGACGAAGCACATTTTCACCTTGATGGGTTTGTTAATCGCCAAAACTGCCGCTTCTGGGGTTCTGAAAACCCACATGTGATTATCGAAAAACAAATGCATCCACAACGTGTCACTGTTTGGTGTGGATTTTGGGCTGGAGGCGTAATTGGACCATACTTTTTTGAAAATGAGGCTGCTCAAGCAGTGACTGTTACTGGTGCTCGGTATCGCGACATGTTAACACAGTACTTTTTGCCGAAATTGAATGATATTGATGTGGCCAATATGTGGTTTCAACAAGACGGTGCCACATGTCATACAGCCCGTGAAACACTTCGATTACTGCATGAGACTTTTCCAGGTCGCGTACTCTCTCGTTTCGGTAATCAAAATTGGCCCCCTAGATCGTGTGATTTAACACCATTAGATTTCTTTTTATGGGGTTATTTAAAATCACAGGTCTACGTCAACAAGTCCACAACCACGCGTGCGGATTAAAGGAGGAGATTCAACGTTGCATCAACGAAATTCAGCCACATTTATGCAGAATGGTCATGGAAAATTTCGACAAACGAGTGCGTATGTGTATGCAAAGCCGTGGAGGCCATTTGCCCGATGTGTTATTTCATAAATAACCCTATCCTATGTACTTTATGAATCAATAAAAAAATTACAATCAAAAGACTAAAAACTGTTTTCTATTTAATTCAAATCTTGCGTTAATTTTGAGACACCCTTTATTTACAATTGTAACAGCACAAAATGATTTCTGTACCTTTATGTTTAATTTTGTAGAGCCTCCGAAGATGGCGTAGATCGCCGAAACGCGTCAGGCAGAGTTTTCAATTATTTATC